AGAACATGACCTTACTCCAGTCATCTATGGTACAATCCCTATGGTCTTTTGCAGACATCAGCATGACTATTCATTGCTTCTCAATGATGAAGGTGTTTTTTTTTTTTTTAGCTTTGCACTGCCCCTAGGAGCTTGTTTCCAGCCATCCTTGCCATGCACTTCCCCCCAGCTGCCATTATTTTTGTAACTCACTTGATGCCATCAGGTCATGCTTGTTATCAGGCTTGTTGTCAGGTGGTTATCCTGGTCAGTGTAGAGTCGTTTTCACCCTGTGCCAGTCTGCAACCTTGTCTGATGCTTGACCTTGTTGTTATGAACCGTTGTCATTATATTTTAAGGACTGAAGCAATCAGACGCCCACTATATCCCTCTGCTATTAAAGCCAGAATTTAACTCTTCATTTCCTCACTCAAAACCTCTGTTCAACTATTTGGGTATGGTCAGTCGTTATTATTTTGAGTCCAGTTACTTTTTTTTTTTTTTTTTAGATCTTTATTTGTGTTGTGCACAGGTAACAAACAAGCCTGCTTTGCCCCAACAGCAGAAGAAAGATCGATAAAATATATATTAGATTCTGAACAGTGTGGCAATGGAGATATCGCCACAATTTTTTTTTAGGTATATAGTGAAGAGAGAACACGATAAATATATGTCAGTAAACAATAATGAAATAACAGGCTGTGCTCTAAGAACTCTAACTGACAGTATGAGAGTGATTAGTAAAGAGGAGTATCCAGGGTGTATATGCAAGCTAATGTATAATAGATGGATGTTAGCTTAAACAAGAGTGGCATATAGGTATGATGAATATTCACTCAGGGAACCACTGGGTCAGACTTCTCTACATTGGCACAAACCCTTATTAAGGCAAGGAGAACAAAAAATAAAATAAGGGAGAAATGCAAATAAATGGTACACAAATGATAAAGATCTCTGAGGTATCGGCAAGGTACATGGCAAGCATGTAATCCAGAGGTCCGTCCTCAGTTGCAAGCATCAGTTTAAACAATGCCTTGATCAGGAGTATTCGTGTTGCGCTTCCTAGGAGTGTTGGGAATAGCAGTAGTTCAGGCATGTAGCCGGGCACCTCTCCAGCCCCAGATCGGTTTTGTAGCCGGCGTCTTTGAGCTAGTTACTTTTAAGGGGTGCTACTAGCACTGTTTTGCCATCCAGCTGGTCTTAATGCAAGAGGATAGTGCTGACCACTGCAATGGTTTTTATCCTTTTCCTCATTAAAAAAGATTTGGTTCAGACGATCACCTAATTAATCCCTCAAGAAGTAGTTGAAATTAAACAGACACCGGGATGGAATGGCTGCCATACATGTAGAGATGTTAAATTAAGAAAAAATTGGAAAAATGTTTTCCAGATATATATGTCTATGTACATTTATGGTCCTGATGAAAGTTTATGATTTTAAACTGAAATGTTGACATTGAAATAAAAGCTAAGTTTTATCAGAAGGGACGATTGAGTGCTGACGATCTATGGATTCATGTATACAGGAGTTCCATAGTTCAAAGTTAATGTATCATTCAAATATACAGCTCAATGCTAATCTACTATTACTGTGTATAAAGAATACAGGACAAATAATAGATGCACATGGTCACACACTGGGACTAAGGTTTGAGCCTGAATCCATGTTGAAGCTGGTTGCTTTAATCAGTACATCTCATGTTTGTCCAAAAATTGGAGCGCTTCTAAAAGCTTAGTAGAGTAGAGTCTGTTGATTTTAATACCAGCTATTAACTGTATGTAAATGGTGGGGTCCCCTGGTGATTACAGATCAAAAATACATTACTTAATTGGTACTGTGTCCTGTCTGGACCTCTGTAAAGAAAAATAAATAGTATGTTTTGTAAGGAACATTCATTATTCTAAGCACACCAAATGCTGATTTCCTAATGCAAAGACCTCCTTCTCACAGTTTTTCGGTAGAAAATAACACGGAGTAAAACCTGTTATTTAATATAAATATATATTTAAATATGTACACTGTACAGCTCAAACTTGTTAGGTACACGTCAGCAAAATATATCACAACAGTTAAAAATAATTGATCAGGATCAGTAGGATCACAGGTTCACATGGACAAAAAAAAATACAGTGATAAAATTATCAAAAAACTTCATACCATTTTTAATCAACATTATGTGCGTTGGGCAACTATCAGCAATTTCTCCTTAGTGTGACAAACTAAAATAAAATAAAAAATGCATACTCTGTCCATCAAAATAAAACTGATGTTTTGAATATTTAAATCCTTCTGATTACATAAACACTCTCCACAAAATGTATCTTCCTCATCAATGTGGATGGTTGTCACAGAAGCATCCTAAAAGTCTTCTTCTAGTATCTGACCGATGGCGAGCATCAGATCAAAAAATCCGGGTCTTCCTTCAGGTTTCTAGAATTGCATAAAAATGAAACCATCAAGATTATCTTTGATTTTTAGTGTTAACATTTATTAAACAGGTTTAAAGTATTTTATTTTTCTATCTAGTAAACTACTAAATATAAAAAAAGCACTTTTGATGTTTTAGGATTTGTGGCATAATCTCTTTATATGCATTGTGCATGAATCAGTGTGTAACCACATAAGGATGCACTGCCACTTTAATAGCAGCGCCCAGGGCACTGCATAAAAAAGTACCAATATGCATCAAAACCCATCACTACACTGCAAAAAGCAAACATCCTGATGGTGTTGCATATAGAGTCAATGACGGTAGTGGCACAATTTCAAAGAAACAGAGGAATCGTTTGCACAATCAAAGTGAAAGTGCTCACTACATGGTCCAATCAGCACGGGTACATGAAAAATATTTTATTTAATTCATAGAAAATCAATGCCATTGTGCTAAACAAGCTACAATATGTCAAAAACAATATTCTTACCGTTCAACTAAAAACATACTTTATACATATTCTTCCAATCTGAACAACATGTGAATAAAACCGCAAATAATTTAATGAGCAATGCTATTGTTAGTGGTAAAGTAAATAACTCCCCGGCTTTACTGCCAGTATCTTAATCAATGATGTATGTACTGTGGTAATCTGTATATATGATGGGTTATTTTAATAGCATGATTGTCTTCACCCTGGACGCTACAATGTATAACTCTAATAAAAGTGCCAAACAATATATTGTGACTGGAGAGAGCTAAAAATGTTCCCAACTGTAACAGAACCCGGTACTGTTTTGCCTGAACTTAATCTACAGTGCTGCTGGGGAGTTTAAACAGAACCGAATGACTGGTGTTCGTATAACTATTGCTACCCAAAATACCGAACATCAGACCACCCAGGGGAACAGTTAATTACTATTTTACCTCCCAGCGATTGTGGAGCCGTTCGCATGGTTCAGACGAATCCCTTTGTCTAAGAATAGGTGGCCGCCATTTCGGGACTTTACACGTGTTCGCGGCCATCTTACGCACGAACGGCGGTGTTTGCCTGTGAACGCATGGAACTAAAAACGGATACGCAAACAGGCGAACACCGCTGAGACCTCCAGGAGCTCGTAAGTTCGTGCTGAAACTACCGAACGACCGGCCGTTCGGTAGTTTTGTTTAAGCATGCATGGGGATTCAGGCGAACGGCAGGATTACTGTGGAGGGCAAGGGGTTCGTGGGGTTTTTATTCACGAACGGGGACCGACCGCAAGGCCAAAACTTGTGGAACTCTTTTCGGCTGAAAATCCTGTGCGGTCGGTCAAAACTTCAAAGACCCATAACTCCCGAACCCCACAACCGAATGACTTGAAATTTGAATATGTTATTCCCCTGAGTGGTAGCTATTAAGCGGTGCTGGACTTAAAGGTGTACCCCCTGTTTTTGGGGTACATCCAGAATGTGGGTAAATTTATGTACGTTATAATTATGTTATGTGTTTATCTGAGGGGAGGAGACGTGGGGGTATTACCCTGTGTGTAATTGGTTATTTTCATCCTCCCCCTGGGAGTGTCCTGTGTGTACTTGTTCCTAATAAAAAGCAGGCTGGTTCTCCCAGACCTCAGTTCTACTTGACCCTTCAAAACGTAGCCTCGTCTCGTTCTTGGAGGGGATTTATGGTGCCATTACTCTGCCTCATTTTTCAGTACTGCCGGATTATACCCTGGGATATCGTGGATGGGAACAAGGACTCTATTACTACACAGCAGCTTGCACAGAAAAGGACATCTCCAACGGCAGATACCCCTCTACAGCTGGGTAGCCGTTACATTGGTGGCAGCGGCGGGATGGTCCTTTTCATCCCCAAAGCAAGTGCTGAATGGAATCCCAGTACGCCAAGCTGAAAAGACCCACACTAAAGGATCTATTGGAAACCAGAGGAAGGAGTGCCAGCAACCGACCACGGAGAGAGCTGATAGCTGACCTACTGGAGCTGGACGAGATGGATCGATCCATGGAGGTCGCAGACCAACCTAACCTTGTCAGCGAGGAGGAAGAAATTACAAATCTTGTTCAGCGGAGATTATCCATGTACCCAGCGACATCCGTGGAACTAATAGATCAGCTGTTCCGGGAAGCGAGAACGGAGATACAAAATAGGAGGGGGCACGAACTTGAACTGGCAAGAGCTAGACAACCTATTGCACCTGCAGTTCATATGCCCCACCCGCTGCTACAGGACAGAAAATACCCTTCACTGCGTTCAAAGCGTTTGTGGAAAGTGAGGAAGAGATTGACGGGTATTTGGCTGACTTTGAGAGGCAGTGCTCCCTACACCAGGTACCACTAGACCAATGGGTCACTATTTTGGCCGGAAAGCTATCGGGAAAGGCAAATGAGGCTTTTCGGGCACTTACTGAGGAAGATATTGCACAGTATCGCCGGGTGAAGGCTGCACTGCTCACCCGATATGCCGTCACCCCGGAAACGTATCGCCGTCGCTTCAGGGAGTCTAAAAAGAAGGCTGCAGACTCCCACATGGAATGGGCAAACAAGATACAAAGGGTGGCATCACATTGGGTACGAGGGTGCAATGCCAACACCGGAGAGGAAGTACTACAGCTATTCCTAATGGAACATTTCTTCCAAGATCTGGCAGCAGACATACAGGATTGGGTGAGAGATCGTCGCCCTACTAACTTAATCGAGGCAGCGCGGCTAGCGGACGAATACGCAGAGTCGAGAAAGGTGAGCCAAGGGTCCACACGACCAACCTCTAGGGCAGAGCCACGCACCCCAACGCCCGCTGCACGCACAGAATTTCGGGCCCCAGTACCCCCAGGACCCCCACATCCTCAGGGGTCTAACAACCAACCCCGGGATGCTTACAAAATTACGTGCCATCGCTGCGGCAACACGGGACATATTGCTCGTTATTGCCCCTTGGGATCAGCCAATAACAACTGGAGGCGATCAACCAATAACACAGAGACCCCTTCATCACGCACCTCTGCTGCTCACTGCCTGGAAACAGAAGGGAGCCCTGAGGAGTGTTTGGGCATCCTATACGAGGCAAACCCCATACAAGCTGCATCCCCAGATAACCGCCAGCATCACCGCCAGGAGGTGCGTGTAAATGGGCAGGTGGCACAAGGCCTAAGGGACACGGGTGCTACCATCACTTTGGTGCAGAAGCATCTTGTGAAACCGGAGCATGTATCTACACGCACTGTTGCTGTCCGTGTCGCAGGGGGGGCTGTTTTTCGTTTACCCACTGCCCGGGTACACTTGGATTGGGGAGTCGGGTCGGGAAAGACCACAGTAGGAATCATGGACAATTTACCTGCTGAAGTCGTGTTGGGCAACGACATTGGCCCTCTGGCTTCAGCTTATCTACCCACGACTGCTGCTGCCTGTCCCGTAACCACCCGCTCACAAACCCGTATCGAAGACGACCCTCCAGCAGACCGGGAGACCCAGGTAAGCCACAAACAGACACTCAGCCCTAACACGGTAGAAAGACCCATAGCTTGGGACACCCCAGAGGAGTTTGGGAGGGAGACTAGACAGGACCCCACTCTCCAAAAGTATCGGGAATTAGCCGACAGTGGGGGGGATGAGCGGGAACATTTTATATGGGAAGGTGACAGATTATACAGGTTGACACAAGGTAGGAGGAGAGGCTGTATCCCTTCACAGAAGCACCAACTAGTGGTACCCAGAAAGTACCGGTTGGAACTTCTCCGAATTGGACATGACATTCCGTTGGCAGGACACTTAGGGGGTAACCGCACCGCCTACAGGATCACACAGACCTTTTTCTGGCCTGGGATCTCAAAGGACGTGCGGCGTTACTGCAGTACCTGTGATACATCCCAACGAGTAGGAAAGAGAGGGGACCACCCTAAAGCTCGACTGTCACCCATGCCCGTGATTGAGGAACCGTTTAGCCGGGTGGCAGTCGATCTAGTGGGACCCCTACCTAACCCCAGTCCCTCGGGTAAGAAGTATATTCTTACAGTAGTGGACTATGCTACCCGCTACCCAGAGGCTGTCGCTCTGACAAATATCCAGGCTGACACTGTCGCCAGTGCCCTAGTTGGGATATTCACCAGAGTGGGATTCCCTCAGGAAATCCTATCCGACCGAGGGACCCAGTTCACCGCAGACCTAACACAACAGTTGTGGAAGGTCTGTGGTGTCAAGACCCTGCTCAGTTCCCCGTACCACCCCCAGACTAACGGTCTCTGTGAGCGCTTTAATGGGACCCTAAAGCAATTGCTGCGGACCTTTACAGCGGAATACAGAGACTGGGAGCGATTCTTGCCGCACCTCTTGTTTGCATATCGAGAGGTGCCCCAGGAATCCACAGGATTCTCTCCTTTCGAGCTGCTCTATGGACGGCGAGTGCGAGGCCCCCTCGACCTCATCCGAGAGCACTGGGAGGGAGAGATGGAGCATGAGGGCGTTCCTATCGTATCTTATGTACTGGAGATGCGGGACCGCATGGGGCACCTAGCCAGAATGGCCCGAGAACATCTCCAGGCAGCCCAGGGCCGTCAGAAACACTGGTACGATCGGGGCGCCCGGCTGAGAACGTTCCAAGTAGGTCAGAAGGTTCTGGTACTTAGACCGGTCAAGGGAAACAAGCTACAGACCTCCTGGCAAGGCCCTTACAAGGTAGTGGCCCAGATATGTGACACCACCTATGTAATTGCCAGTAGCCAAGA